ATGGTGAAACCCCATCTCTACTAAAAATACAAAAATTAGCTGGGCATGGTGGCATCTGCCTGTAATCCCAGCTACTCAGGAGGCTGAGGCGGAGAATTGCTTGAACCGGGACCTGGGAGGCGGAGGTAGCAGTGAGCGGGATCGCGCCACTGTACTCCAGCCTAGGCTGTAGTGTGAGACTGTCTCAAAAAAAAAAAAAAAAATGAGACTGTCTCAAAAAAAAAAAAAAAAAATGAACCACTCGGGTCAGACAAGAAAGAGTGTCGGGAATGACTGGCCTGCTCGGCAGAGGAGCTGGGTCTGGACTGGTTCAGATAGGCTTGTGGGATCGAGAGCTGGAAGTAGGAGGCTCTGGGCCTTGGACTTGGAAAAAAGGCCTGGATTTGAATTCCTGGCTTTGGAACCCCTCACTAGAGGGTGGAAGTCTGCAGGAATAGCATCACCTTAGGGTGGCGGTTTGGAAAATGCTACCTGTCTGTCAGGGTGGTTTTAGCTGAAAGTTACAGAAAAGCTAAGTAAACACAGTTTTAACGCAGGGATTTAATGTCTCACAAATGAAGGGTCAGAGGCAGGGCTTCCAGGTTGGCTTGTTAGCACAGCCGTGACATCAAGGGCTTTGCATGTCTCTTCCTGACTACTCTCAGTGTCCACAGCCCCCAGTAAGTGTACCGCCCCCACACGCAGGCAGGACTGCGTCTACTTCAAAGGCGTTGCTCCTTGCTTTATATTAGCAAGGAAACCTTTCCCAGGAAGGCTTCGCCTGCCCAGCCTCTCTAGGACACACTCAACAGTGCAGATTCCGCAGGGGCTGGAGGGAGCTGTGAAGCACAGCAGTGGGCAGGACCTCTACCAGCAACGGAAGTGGGGGAAGGAGGACCGCCTGTTGGAAAGGCCCCAGCAGTGTCTGTCACACCAGAGGTGTGGGAGGAAGGTGGACATGAAGGGAAAACAACAGAGTGAGGACAGAGTTTCAGGAGAGAAGATGAAGTGTGCACACTCTCCGTGTGGTGACGGGCTGCGCGACGGTGAGGAGCAGGCTGCTGACTCCTTTGCCACACCGTGAAGGATCCTGAAGGTGGGACGCTAAGTGAGAAAAGCCAGAGGAAAGACCACTCATACTGCAATTCCCTTTACATGAAATGTCCGGAAAAGACAAACACATTGCAGAGAGAAGCAGATGAGTGGTTGCTGGGCAGGAATGGGAGTCGACCACAGCTGAACACAAGGGGCCTTTGGAGGGTCACGGAAGTGGTTTAACCTGAATCTGAGCCTGGGAAGCAGTGCAGTTAGCAGTCCTGGTCCCTAAACCCGTCCTGGGGACTTTGGAGGGTGACGGAAGTGGTTTAACCTGAATCTGAACCTGGGAAGCAGTGCAGTTAACAGTCCTGGTCCCTAAGCCCTTCCTACAGGAGCCAGACTTGTGAGTGAACAGGCCGTCAGTGATTCCAGGCTCTGGCTGGATCCTGGAGTCGTCTCAGCTTGGGGCGTGCACCTCAGGGGGAGCCAGCATCAGTGTCCAGCCCCAAGAGCCGCCCTGGACGTCTCAGTGAGTCTTTAGATGCCTGCAGCTGCCTGGGCAACCACAGGTGATACCTGTCCTGCCAAACCTGTCCTGAACCCATAAAATCCAGAGAAAAGCAAGTAGTCGTTTTAAGCTGCTGAGGCTTGGGGTAAATTACTATGGAGCAGTAGTGACCAGAACAGAAGGGCCATGATGGGGAGACAGTTTGGCCATGAGTTAATCACTGTGGCAGCTGTTGGGATATTGATATGGCTTGGCTGTGTCCTCACCCAAATCTCATGTTGAATTCCCACATGTGGGAAGAACTGGGTGGGAAGTGATTGAATCATGGGGGCAGGTCTTTCCCATGCTGTTTTTGTGATAGTGAATGAGTCTCACGAGATTCGATGGTTTTGAAAATGAGAGTTTCCTGCATAAGCGCTCTCTCTTCCCGCTGCCATCCGTGTAAGACGTGACTTGCTCCTTCTCCCCTTCCGCTGTGATTGTGAGTTCTCCCCAGCCATGTGGAACTGTAAGTCCATTAAACCTTTTTCCTGAATAAATTATTCAGTCTCTGGTATGTCTTTATTAGCAGCATGAAAACAGACCAATACAGATATATTATACTGTTATCATAACCACTGCTGTATATGCTTAAATTTTTGCATTACAAAATTCACAAACATACAAACAGATCTAACACATCACAGATTTACAGTCAGCTTATTCCACAGTGTTGGAAATTCTACCACAAATAAAGAACTTGGGAAAAAAGGAAGGAAATGTTAGAACGAAACCTGAGAGACCTAGAACCTGGGCTCAGTCACTCCTGAGACAGTCAGATTGGGTATTTGGGGATGAGTCAGTGTTAATTTTCTTAGATGTGGCAGTGCTGTTGTAGTTATGCTAAAACACAATCCCTATCTGATAAAGAGGTATACTGCAACATTTATGGGTAAAATGTCTGAAATTACTTAAAGATACTCAGGATGCTGGGCGCGGTGGCTCATGCTGTAATCCTAGCACTGTGGGAGGCCAAGGCGGGCGGATCACTTGAGGTCAGGAGTTCACAACCAGCCTGGCCAACATGGCAAAACCCCGTCTCTACAAAAAATACAAAAAAATTAGCTGGACGTGGTGGTGTGCACCTGTAATTCTAGCTAGTTTGGAGGCTGAGGCAGGAGAATCGCTTGAACCCAGGAGGCAGAGGTTGCAGTGAGCCAGGATCATCCCTGGGTGATGGAGCGAGACTCCATCTCAAAAAAAAAGATAGGAAAAAAATGAAGAAGCCGGGCGCGGTGGCTCACGCCTGTAATCCCAGCACTTTGGGAGGCTGAGGCGGGCGGATCACGAGGTCAGGAGATCGAGACCATCCTGGCTAACACGGTGAAACCCCGTCTCTATTGAAAATGCAAAAAATTAGCCAGGCGAGG